AAAGGACAACATGGAGCTAAAGGACAACATGGAGCTAAAGGAAAACATTGAGCTAAAGGAAAAACATTGAGCTAAAGGAAAACATAGAGCTAAAGGAAAGCATGGAGCTAAAGGTAAAGTAAAACATGGCGCTAAAGGAATATATTGAGCTAAAGCAAAACATGAAGCTAATCTGCTCGTTAAAGGAGGTTGTGAAACACGTTTCTGAGTAAACTTTACTCTGTCTGCTTATTGTGCTTCTCAGCAGAAGTTTTATTTGAACAAAGTCTGCCCAATTGTTTATTAACTGAAGCTTAGCTAAGCTACTCAGTCAATTTATTTTTACCCGATACACTAAAACTTGGTAATACTTGTGTGAACATGTTATAAATGTTGCCAGGTGTGCTCTTTAATGGCAAGAAGATTTCAAAAAATGCTAGCTTAAGCTAGCATGGCGTCTTTAATAACAGTCAAGGCCGCGGAGCTAAAACAGAAATGCATAACGAGCTAAAGGAACACATGGAGCTAAAGGGAAAAACGCATCGAGCTAAAGGAACACATGGAGCTAAAGGAACACATGGAGCTAAAGGAAAACATGAAGCTCATATGCTCATTAAAGGAAGTTTTGAAACATTGTGAAAAGTTAAGCTACTCAGTTTGTGCACGTTTTTTTTTTTTACCTGATGCACTAAAACTTGGTAATACTTGTGTGAACATGTTATAAATGTTACCAGGTGTGCTCTTTAATGGCAAGAAGCTTAAAAAAATGCTACCTTAAGCTAGCACAAAGGCTATAGTGACTTAAAGCTTCCGAGTTGAAGCAGAGAAACTTTTATTAAAAATATTTTATAAAAACATGTGAAACTCAAACACACCTTTTATGCTACTGGGCACAATTCTTATCAACTTGTTTATAGATCATTCTGTATTTGATAAACGGCTATAAATTCACACACACAAACAAGAAATCATAAAAGTGTTGCCAGATGTGCTTTTCATTGGAGGAAATACTAAAATGATGTTATCTTAAAGGGATATTTCAGACATTTTAACTGGAACTTTGGAAAAAATAATGAACAAATATCTTACCTGTTTCAGATGGCTCCTTGAAAAGTCTCATTTTGAAGACTTGGGAGCTTGTTTGGAAGGACCAGTGAGCTAACAGCTGGTCCAAAAGCAGCTGAGCGGATTGCTGCAGTTTAAAACGACTCTAATCTTATTTTGTAGTGCGTCATGCTGATGATTCAAAAGAAATCTTTACACTTATCAATTCAACATTACAGGTTATTCACATCATTTCTAGGGGAAGCATGTTTGTTGCAGCCTGAGGTCAAATTGAAAAATAATTTCATACTATTTCTGCCAAAATGACTATTTCATGCAAAACGACAGTAAAGTTAAAAAATGTTTGTAAAAAATGTAGATTTTAGAGATAATCCGAGTCGACTCAGACCATACTGACTAATAATGGCATCTTCGAGCGGACCCACATCCAAATCTAATTTTATCGTTTTAAAATTATTTAGATCTTCAAAATTTCACACAGGTTTATACAAACACCATTTAAACCTTTTTATCGCTGTTAACTTTGCATTACATGGTAAATTTGGTAAAAAATGTCTGGAGTTCATTAAAGTTGACCATAAACTGCACTGAAAGTGCTGCTGGTGCCGTTTGCCTAGGCAAAAATAAAAAACAAAAATAAAAATTACAGAATTCTTTGTACATTTTATGTATTGCTAAATTGACAGAGGTGTCAGAGTTCGACCAAACAGCAGAGTCTTGGCACAAACCGTTAGCCGGTCAGTATTAGAACCTGGCAGGAGAAGTTTCAGAACTTCCAGAAACTTGTGAGCGACTTCTCATGAGGTCAAAAACCTTCTTCGGGCATCATTTAACGATTTAGCTCAAA